AGCCAATTTTGGCTCTATTTTTTTTCTATGCATGGCCGGCCAAAGTGGAGAAGGAGAGAGAGTAAAATAAATCCTACCCCTTGTACTTTAGTCCACTCTCTTAGGTTACCTTTGAATCAGGTAAAAATCATACTGACTGTAAATGGTACTTAGCTGACAGGAAATTCTTGTTTCTGACGGTTCTATTTTTTTTTTCTACTGCTTATTTACAGTTCAACTGTTAAATCCTCGTCTGCTTTGATATCACGTTAAATTCTTACTCGCGTAATATCTTAAATGTTTCAAGTCTTGAAATTAATTCTAGACTGAATAAATTCTAAATTTAACTTTTCTGCATTATATTCCGAGAATGACATTGTTTCTGACGGTGTCAACTCCAGAGCTCACATTGTACCCTTCTACTATAGGTATTTATCTTGTGACTTTAACCTAGCTGTCTGGCAATTAAGGATTTTCTCTTCTTTAAAAATGTCAGTGCGTTTTTTTTTTTACGCTGCTAACATCATGCTGTGTTTGGAGATTCTTGAAATTAAGATTCTCAAACTATACTTGTACTGAAAATTATTCTGCCTTAAAGTACGGTAAGAATTTATCGATCGAATTTACTTGATCGAAAACATGAACTTAACATGAAATCTGCTACAGAATTTAGGAATACAGATATTGATTCCATAAATCCTTCAGTCACATAATATTTTCTAGGAAAATCCTTGGCTTAAATAAAAAAATTGTATTATTTAAAGTCTGGGATTTTCTCAGTCATTACATCAGATGTCGCCGGTTTTTTACACTAGGGTGAAGATTCGAACCTTAAACTTGAGAGGGAGCACATCTCCAAGAACAAGGTGTTTTTTATTTTTATTTTTATTCTTTTTTTGGCTGAAAGAAAACCTTGAGCTGTACCATTGAGGTTTAGTGATTTGGTAACTAATATGTAAACTTTCTAGTTACATACTATAAGCTAAATTAAATTAAGAGTTAGATGTCGTTTGTGAATATATATATATATATATATATATATATATATTTATATATAATATTTTTGCTCTCCCTTGTGCTAAAGGCACCATGCTAAGTAGAAGTCGTTTCGAGTATGGATTGATGATTCAAATAAAAATTGTCACCCCGCGATAGAAACTGAAAAAAAAAAAAAAGTAAAAATAACCAAGGATTCCAACTTAAGTGAACTCAAAAAACAGAAAAATTTTCTCCAAAAGGAAAAGGATCCAATAAGTGAGAATTTGCATGATCTGAAAATCTCACGTATCATGAATTTTAGAGGACAGCACAAACGAAACTAATTACTTTGTGATGGTAACATAAACTGAGTGTACTTATTTCTATGAATACAGCCAGTGTGGCCAAATCGCTCCACGAATGATCTGATTATATGACAAATAATAACTTGAGATGTCAATTTTGGGACTCTCCCATCATGCCATGTAACTACAGCCGTATATGTCAATCTCTACCTATTTCACCAAAAAAAAAAAAAAAAAAAACAGTGGTGATGATCACAACAGATGATAAGGATGATTTCTTCGGATTTGTTTGGTTATACCGGTTGTTATCTCCACTTTCAAATACTAACTTGTGTGTCAACGTACCATTTTTGTTGCATTATCAAGCTAGCTCGTCATTGATATCGTTGAGTGGTATTTCTTCAGATACATTTTGCAGGGTCAAATTTATCTAGCATAATATACAGAATACAATTTGGTACATTCTCAAATCAGAATAAGGCAAACCAACCTACCCCTTATATAATCACAAAATATTGAATAAAGAGACTGATGACTAACTAATACACCATTAGCGTCCACACTTTTTTTTTTTTGATGGATTCATTGAAGAAGCATTATGCACGTGGCTACACTATGTGACAGACTACATACAAGAGATTTGGCTGATATGGTGAGATATTTCATATTTCTCATGCCTTGCACAGCCAGTCCTGAATAGCAAGCCTGATGGCATGGTTGGGGGTGAGATTTAGGTGACTTAGTTTCAAATTGGTCATCGGAGAAGTTTCTTTGCCGTTTTGCAACCATCCTCGCATGGCTTCCCCTTCATAAGTGAATCCATCAGCTGCCACTTGAGGGTCATGCATTATTTCCTGAAAGCAACCCAAAGATGCCCATGAGAAAAGCCAAGCAAAGCCTTGCTCAAGGTTGAAACCTTGAACTAATTGTTAAAAACTTGGGAGATTGTTAATTCAATTTTTCTCCAATGAGCATCAGTAAACAAGTTCAAAAACCTAGTCTTAATAAAGTGAACATGTGTCCTCACCTGAAGGATGGGGCACAAGAAGAATGATGGCACTGGTCGCTCTTCAGAGTCATGCAACTGCTCGAGTTCTCTCACAAGAGAAGGCGTTAGATCTGGCCTATCGCGACTATTCAGTTTGCAACATTGCAGCCCAATATCTGCCAATCGCCTTGCCACGAGCATCGGCCATTCTCCAGCTGAGGAATCCAAGATCGATGCCAATTTTCCAGATGAAACTGCCTTGCGCACCTCGCCCGCCAAACCAACTGGAGATCTTCTGGTGAGTAACTGCAGGACGATAAGCCCGAAGGAGTAAGCATCGGACTTGGGTGTTAGGATTCCAATCCTCTGAAACTCTGGGTCCGTGTAATAGAAAGAGCCCTTTGGCCCAGTGTTCCATCTTAAACTTGGGCACTGTAGGTTGTCCTCTGTTATCGACCTGCAAATCCCAAAATCACAAATCTTGCAGCGCAGTTCAGAATCTAAAAGTATTTTTCGAGGTGTCAAATCACCATGGACAATTTTCTCAGGCTTTGAAGAGTGCAAGAAGCAAAGTGCACTAGCGATTTCTGCAATTATCCGTACTCGGATCTCCCATGTCAAAACATTGCTTTTCCGAAACAGATGGTTTTGAAGGCCTCCATTGGGTAAATACTCGTATACAAGGGACCAGGCTTCTGGGCACACACCGAGCAAAGTCACCAGATGAGGATGCTGTAGTTTGCCTAGAACTTTTACCTGCACTCCCAAAAAATAAATGAAATTAAATAAAAGGGTTATTACAGATCCACAATGTAAGAGTAGGGGAGAAATGTGTGTGAGAGAACCTCTTGTTGGAATTCTGATTCTCCTTGCATGTTATATGGATACAGCTTTCTAATAGCAACAGTTCTACCCATCATTTCTCCCTTGTAAACATAACCATAACCTTCCTGACAAAGTATGAAGCTTTCAGAAAAATTACACGTTGCGGTTTGCAAATCTGGTAACGAGAATTCTGCTAACTCGTGTAATTCCTTAACAGACCCAACAAGGCCATCGTAGTTTGTGGCTCCACCTTGTCCATGACTTCTCCATCGCTCAAGCCAGCGTAGTGCTTCAATCTTCGGTCGTCGAATCCGCTGCTTTTCCTGCCTCAAGGTTGCAATTGATTCTTGAACTAGTTTCAGTTCTCCAACAGCTTCGTCATGCCTGCGATTTGCTTCTTGTGCGCGGCTGTCCAGCAGCGCAACATTTCTCATCGTCCTATGAAGCTCTTGAGTTATGTCGTCCCTTTCTTCCAAAAGCTTTTCTTGTTCCTCCAACGTTGTTCTCAGTGCCTCCTCAGCTTCTTTTCTAAGTTGACCTTCACATGCGAGGGCAGACTCAAACGCTTTCACCTAAAGAAACACACAGAAAATAAGTGAAGGTTGGGAGTAAATCACAACAATGGGAAACTAATTATTCATAGATCATAATTTCAATTGTTATAATGCTCCAACATGCTTTTCCAAGGAATCTGCAAAAATAGATTTCCGAACTTAGATACTATCTTATAAGTTAGGTACTGATATTTGTGTGAAGATCCATGTCATTAAGTTGAGTCAGTTTCCCAGTGCACAAATATTTGAAACTGCAAGGGTTGGGCAGAATTTCAAGCCAACAAAAAAAAAGTGTTGGACAGAAGAAAAATAATCATAAAATTCTATGCCCAGCCAAAAAAAGAAGGCTATATAACATTCTAGAACACAAACAAACCAAAGAGGCCATTTATTTTGTCAACTTAAAAGGACAAACATGAGCAAAATAATTATGCAAAAGAGGTACATAAATGCTTACTTCTAGATATTGAAATCACATTAATTGAGAAGTTACCACTGTCACAATTTCAGAATGTAACAACCCACACCTTTACTATTGTGTATGTCACATTTCCAGTCATACACTCCATATTTGTGTAAGCAACACATTAGTTCTTGGGAACTATAACAATCTAAATGGAAGTCCTAAACACTAGCAATGACATTCAGATGATGCTTACCTTACTAATAGCTTCCCTCGCCTCTAGTTCCAACTTTTTGACCTTCAGTGAATCTGCACATGCCTCATTGCTTGACGTCTCAGCTTCTATCGTAGCCTGAATAAGTTGACTATATAATCTCTCTTCACCAACCTTCAAATCAGAATCTGACAACCCCCTTCTTTCAGCAGAATTATACCCTGAACAAGAGCTAGAACTTGTAGTGCTAGATGAATCATTGAGATCATGAAGACACGTACAGGCCGAACGAGATAAAGTTGGTGAAGAAGCCAATTCCGCATGAACTGGTTCATACTGGACCCGGTTGCTTATTTGAGTACATACAGCACTCTTAGCTGATTTTGACTGAAGACAATCTGGGTGGATTGACTTATTCTTACCATATTGAAATGATCTCGATCTGGAGTTCTCTGCGGTTGCAATCTGCGGCAGACTACATGAAGGAAGTGAACTTGGGTCCTCAGGCGTGTCTCTAGTCCACACATGTTTTCCTTTATGGATAAACCATATTTCACAGAACAAGGGAGCCTTTTTGGCAGCATAATTTGCTTTGCTGGAGCCCTTTTTCACCTTCATACAACTGCATTAACCATAAAGAAAGAAATTACTTACAAAAGAAAAGGAGAAATAATGTAGTTATCGAAAAGAAGAAACAATGATAACCCAGAAGAAACGGCTCAAAGACTAGTAGTCGGGATTGATTATATCATACATTGACAGTGAGGACGAGTAAAAACCATTGATAAACAACTTACTTTTCTGGTACAGCCCCCATGACGAGCTTCCTAATACCATTTTCGTTCACCAAATCCACAATTCCTTTCTGAACTTGCTCGGCTTCAATCGTGATGATGCTTGCATTAACCTGCATGGTATAGTTTCCAGTAAACAATGGAATAATACAGAGAGATTTCCTTGGTAGATAAATTTCAATGTTTCCTAATTTTTGGGTTATCAAACAATTACCCAGGAATTATGAAAATTTATCTTTTATTGTTCCTTGAAAACTGTATATTTCCTTTAATAGTTGTTTCATATTTATTTGCACGATCTTTGGGCTATTACTGTTTCTCCCTTTCCTTAAAACACAAAAGGGTCCTCAGAAACAGGACTTAAAAACCATTTGGAGAAACAAGGAAAATTCAATCACAGTTTTCTTATGCTAAGTGTATCCAGTAAAGAATATATAAATATATCAAGGAGTACAATACATAATACTGTCACATGAAAAAAAAAAAAAAAACAGGTATATCAAGAATAATTCAGGTGATTAAGTACTGAAAGCAATACAGCATTTTGCTTAAGTAATGAAGAAAGCAACAAGATGAAGCCACAGTCGTACTTGCCCAAAAAAAATTGTAAATTGAAAAACAAAAAAGCTAACTTTTTTTTTTGGCAGAAAATAAAAAGCAAACCTTTGCTCTAGAGCAAAAGTTCGAGTATCTTTGTAAAAGCTTCGACATTTGTTCCTTCTCAAACTTTCTATACGTAGACACCACCTCGGCACTTGCTTGGGTTGCCGGCAGATTTCCCACTGCGCAATAGAAATCATGAACAAGAAAGTAATTTTAAGAGACAATTTACAGAACGAAAAGGCATTAAGGGAAAAATATATATATATATGTGCTCTTCTTTTTTCTCCTTTCCGTGAAGTTTGATATCGAGTTCTCCATCAATTAAAAAACAACGCTTGTGCGCATTTACCCTTGCAAAATATAAAGCAAGATTCTCAATTTCTTGAGAAAATTTTCCTCTTTCCTTTATTTTCTCGCCCACTAAACGGAGCAGGAAAAAAAAAAGAAAATAATGAAAGTGGAAAAAAAAAAACCTACACAATTCAGATGTCCATTTGGGGTATATATACGAAAATGCACACAAAAAAAGAAGAAATTGAGGCAAATTTCCCGACAAAAAATAAAAAAATAAAACCCATTAAGCCGAAGAGACTTACATAAAGTGGGAATGAGCTGAGAAGGCAGATGAACATGAAGAATACAAATTTCTTTTCCCTGGAAACGCCTGAAAGTCCAATTGAGCAAGCTCATTGCTTTCTCCTCAGACTTGCCAAGCGCCACGTGTACCTTGTTGTTATTCCCTTCCTCTTCAACGATCTCCGGCAACTGGGAAGTGCCAGCGCGGTCTAACCCACGTCGGGAAGTCGCCGGAAAAGAGAACCCATAAAGGGATACCGGGGAATGGGCGTGGGTGGGAGGACTCGAAGGCCTTAAGAGCTCCATGGTCGCGGGGGCCTAGGAAAAGTCGAACTATAATCATGTGGGGAACAAAAATATGCCTGGTTTAAGTCTAAGTGAGATTTTGGGGAAATTATAATAATGATAATTGATTTTTTGGTAAATCTGAGTAATTTGATGATTTTCCAAAGAAGGCTTGACCTTTTCGTGATGACTTGATAGCGATGGAGACAGGAGAAGGAGACCCGAAAGTGTATGGCTCTTCACCCAGGAGCTCATTCATTCTTTGGAATGAAAAGACGAATTTGATTTTTTTTAGGAGATAATTTGGTTTATGAATTAAAATTATGTGATTAAAATTATTTTTAATTTATGTATATTTTTTTATGAGTGAGAGAAAATATTGTAATAAATTATAGTTTGTATCTTTTTACTGATACACGTGTTCTTTTACAGAATTCCGTTTCTTTGCTATTATTATATATAAAAATATCAATAATCCTCATATTTTTTTTTCTCTTTTTTCGTCTCTCTCATAGAATTAGTTTCATCTTAGTTGTTGGGGTAGGTTTCAGACATCTTCTCTTAATGAGGATTTTCCTCGTGATTATCATGTCTTCATCGTGTAAATTTAGTTTTCAGCATTTTTTTTAATGGAAAATTGCAGCATTCGGAACAATTAAAGTGGTGAATTCTCGCTTAAAAAAAAAAACAATAATGACAAAAGTTTCTTTTACACTTCAATATCTACGGAGAAGGAGAGAGATGGCAAATTGTCAAAGAATGCTATTCATTTCATGTCACATCATTATGAAATAAGTTGTACCTAACTATACCTTCATTTTCATATAAAATAAACACGATACAAGAATATATCTTTATTTTTTTAATAAAGCAACAGCTATCTTACTTGAATGTAGAAGTGACATTATTAAAAGTATTCTTTTTTTTTTCTTTCTAATGCGGGACAAATAGTAGTCTGGTAGTATTGAGCGCGAATGACGGCAGTAGATAAGGAAACCTACACCTATAAGCATGTCGAATACTATGAAAATCGTGTCGCCTTTTTGTTTATTCATTTTTGGGCTAAGATTTTAATGGGTTGTTTTTTTATAATAAAGTTAAACAAAAAATTTGAATTTAAATTATAATTTTATTTAAATTTATATTTTTTTTAAAAAATTTGAGTTTAAACTCGAGTTTGAAGTCAAATTTAGAGCTAAACTTAAGTTCAAATTTTTCTTTCAACTCGAGTTCATAAATTCGAATTCAAGTTAATGAACAATATTTTTTTTATTCTTAAAAATGTAATTACTTTTTCGTTTTAATTCTGATTGAAATGTTTTTTTTTCTATGCATTCACAATAAAAAGACGAATAAAACTCCACTCATATACTCTATTAAAATTTTTTATCACAATTGAGTTTTTATTAAAATACTATCTAAATATAAATTTAAGTTTTGACACACCCAATACAAACTAAAATAGATTATCAATTCAAATCATAATTCAAATGTGTACATCTAAACACAAACTCAAGTTATAATTTCAACTCAAGTTATAACTCAAACTCAACTTAAAATCATCACTCAAGTCACCATAACTTAAAAATATAAAAGAACAATATCTTCTCTCCAATATGTCCTTGCATTGTACAGTTGTACTCAACTCACGTCCTAAACTACTCTCTCCACACAAAATAATAATAATAAAAAAAGAAACGCTTATATTATCCATTTTGTCACTATTTATTATCTCATTTTTATTTAAATAATAATATATCATGTTAATAAAATTTAAAATTTAAAAGTAAAAAAAAATTAATACTAACATTTATTTAATAATAACAACAATAAACTCCTAAGTCCTAACTAAGCAAAGTACTCGGAAGCATGGGTCCTCACGTCACATGGTCCTAGTCTTGCATGCATTAATTAGTATTGTAATATTGTAGGAATTCCACATAACACGGTTGGAGTTCGACTTTCATTAGGAATTCGGAAAATTTTCGCTAAATATCTATAACAAAATTATACTGTTTTACCAGATAAAGTAAATCAAATTTACTCACATGCAAATGAGTGTTAACGATTGAAAGCCAACGAGAGCAAAAAGAGACCCACCATTATTATTCCTATATTACCCACACAAGCAAAGAAACCGAGTAAAGAGGTCATGTCAAAACCAGGCTGTTGTGTTCAATTGGTCATCGCCGAGAAAAAATGATATTTATCCCCCATAGAGATAAAGCCCCGTACTCATAAAATGGTGGATTCTAGTACTGAAAATTTAGACCGGGCTAGACGGGCCGATCCGAAGCCCGTTACTATGGGCCCAGGGACCGGCCCAGCCCGAATCCGTACAAGCATGAGCCCGGCCCGGCCCTAGTGTAGGGCCGGGCTAGGCCGTAATTTTAGGCCCGCAAACGGCCCGAGCTCGGCTCGAAAATAGCCCGAAATGGCCCAAAGGCCTAAAATTTTTTTTCTTGGTTACTTGTTTTTGGCCCAACGGTAATATTACCGTTGGGCTGATTCATGGCAGTGAGTCTGAAGCAGAGGGCTTTACTTTTTTTTTTTCTTGGTTACATGTTTCTGGTCCAAGCCCAACGGTAATATTACCGTTGGGCTGACTTACTGCCTCACGACAGTGAGTCTGAAGAAAAGGGCTACAGGCCTGCAGCCCTCTGTTTTTTTTCTTGGTTACATGTTTCTGGCCCAAGCCCAACGATAATATTACTGTTGGACTGACTCACTGCCTCACGGCAGTGAGTCTGAAGCAGAGGGCTGTAGGCCTCTAGCCCTCTGCTTTTTTTTTTCTTGGTTACTTGTCCCCCCCCCCCCTCCAATTTTTTTTTTTGGTTTTTTTCCCCCCCCCCCCCCCCCCCAAATCTCTAAATTTTATCTATATATACCCTTCATTAACCCATTTTTTCACACAACACAACTTTCACTCTCTCTATTCTCTTCTTATTCTCCAATTTTTTCTCAACTCTCAATTCTCACTCACATTAATTCTCTCAATTTTGTTATTTCATTTTTGTTCAAAAAAAAAATGTTGGTGATTCTCTAATCTCTACTCTAGTCTCTACTTCAATTTTCAAGTCACAATTCCATTATCCATATTAAGTAATCAAGGTATTGATAAATTTTAGAATTATAAATGTTTTAATTTTTTTATATCTAATTTATTGCGAATATTTAATTTTTAGTGTTAGCATGTATTAATATGTTTGTTGTTGTTATTATTATTGTAGGAAATAGAAAATGGAACCAAATATGTATATGTATGGTCTTGATGGTGTTGACTACTATCGAATGGATGATCAAGACATTGAAGAAGCAACAATTCATCGAATGGAGGAGGGTGACCAAGTAGGTGACATGTCACAAAATATTAATATTCAACTGAATCAACCCTCAGAAATGCCGATAGGCTCAAGTGGTTCAACATCATCAACGACAACAAAACATGCAAGACGACGTGCAGAATGTTGGAAATACTTCACTACATAAGAGAAAATTGATGCTGGAGGTAAGAAAATAAAATTAGCTACATGTATATATTATAAAAAAGTTTTGAACGCAAATTTTATAAGTGGAACTCGACACTTGAGAGATAATGGAGTTAAATGCGCTAGACTACATCAAGCCAGGATGGAGCCTACACAAAATCAACTTCAATTAAACCCGGATGGTTCGGTAAGTACTTGGTCCTATAATCCTCAAGTTGCTAGGGAATCTTTATGTTGACTTATTTCTGCTTTAGATTTACCTATTAACCTTGGTGATAACCCACATTATGAAACGCATATTCAACGTGCATATTGTCCTCAATTTCAAAAAGTTTCTAGAACTACTACTAGGAGTGATATGATTGCATACTATGAGAAAATACGTCTTGCATTAATAGCTGAAATGGTTGCATTAAATTTTTCAATTGCATTAACCTCTGATATTTGGAGTGGCAAATCAAGATTATTTGAGTGTAGTTGCACATTATATAGACTCTAAATGGAATATGTAAAAAAGAATTATTGGGTTTAGACTTATTGATTGTCACATAATGCTGACAATATTGTTGAGAGACTTGTTAGTGTTATTCAAGATTTTGGTATACAAGACCGCATTATCTCTATCACCTTAGATAATGCTACAGCTAATGCAAGGGCGATATCAATGTTGGAGGGACTTATAAACTCGTATAGTGGTGGAGTTTTACTTCATCAAAGGTGTGCATGCCATATAATTAACCTCATTGTCAAATCAAGTATGCTTATGGTAAGTTCTACAATTGACAATATTCGAAATGCCATTTCTTGGATTCATAATTCAAACCCCCGCATTGCTGAGTTTAAGAGGTATTGTAAAGCAGAAGGTATGAAGCCTAGAAAGTTTGGTCTTGAATGCCTGTTAGGTGGAATTCAACATATATGATATTGAAGAGTACTTTGCCATATACAAATATTATCACTATTTTTTTCAATACAAAAATGGGCAAAACAATGTTGCAGGAAGATGACTGGTTTATTTGTGAATGATTTGTGTCTTTTTTGGAGGTTTTTTATGATTCTACTGTTTTATTATCTAGTTATCCTACTTCTCCATTAGTGTTGCACCAAATTTGTGAGATTACAGACTTATTTGAAACGTATAGAAATGATATGTTATTTAAACCAATAGTAGAAAAAATGGAAGTAAAGTTTAGGAAATATTGGTATGAAATTCCTCTGTTTTATTGTTTAGCTATTATTTTGGATCATAGAGTAAAATTATCCGGTCTTGGAAATGTTCTTTCTCATATCGGTGGCTAGTTGGACATAGATTATACTTCATAGGTTGTTAACACACGTGAGAAGTTGTTTGAGATTTATGCAATTTAAGAAAACAAGTTTGGTAACTTGACAACTCAACAAATGCAACAAGATCAGCCGGCCTGCTCAAAAAAGAAGTTTTGGAATTTTATATCTTCTCATCGCGGTGGCTCTAGTTCGTCATCAACAGCGACTCCGAGTGTCATGCCACCACCATCAATACCAACGACGACACAATATAAGGAGCTCAACAGATACCTTGAGACAGAATTCTCGGTGATAGATGATGCTGATAATGATGACAATTTCCAATTTTTGGCATGGTGGAGGCTACAAGGTGTAACATTTCCAGTACTTTCAATATTAGCACGTGATATCTTAA